GTCAGGGGTTTTTAAAAGCCCAGCTCATACTGTTTCTTCACAAGCCCACATGCAAGATGACACATTGGAAAAATGCAGCCAGCCAGATATGTGGCTTGGACCCAACAGAGTAACCCTAGGGAGCCCACTTGGCATTTTCCTTGGAAGGTTTACTTATTTTGTGTTTCTGTTTTACTTATTTTGCTATTTATTTCTCTATTCACCAGTGTGTGGCAGTAGATGCTAGGCATTGGTTGCACTTACATTCTGTATCCATAGGAATTGAAATGCATGGAAGCACCTCAAAGCAAATATTTGCAAATACAAATCTTACATGGGAGTCTAACTAGTTGCCTTCAGATAAGCTGAGTCTGCCTACTTTGTATTGTATATGTAATTTGGCTGTGCTAAAATTTCAAATCTAATGGGAAATATTGTATTAGGGATACTATGGAGTCTATAAAGAATGTTTGTATTTTAAAATCTGCAATAATTTTAGAATATTCTTTGAAGACGTTTCTGCCTTTTTTTTCTTCTTCCAGGGGCTATTGGGGGTTCAACTGTGCCTCCTGAAATCATGAAGAAGATTATCCAGAAAATGAATATACAAGATATAGTAGTGAGTCATTTTTTTCTATTGCTGAATTGTGTCGTTTCCTTCTGTGCATATTGTAGATGAGCGTGGGATGTTGGGCTTGACCTCACAAAAAGCGTTGCACTGTGGATGCTGCATGTCAAGATGAAGAGATAACATGGTTTGCTTTGACAAAGTCACATTCCCTGCCTGTAGGGATAACTGCAAAAGTCAGAAAACGCTTCCACGTTTGTGCTCATACATTATATGTAGAGAACTCCTTGAAGTTTTCCAAATTGAGACAGATGGCTTCTTTGCTTTGTTCTTGAAAGCCAGGGGGCAGCATTGCTTCATAAAGCATTTTGGGAAGGAGGGACATATTTTGCTGGTGCTTTCATTGAAGCAAACCATCCCTTTAAAAATCTCCCACCATCTTTACTATCTTTTTCTATAAATGTTTTTCATTAGCTTTTTAAACTATTAAATATAACCAGTGGTACAGCTAAACTGGAAACAGAAAGTGTAGCAGGATTCTAGAGGAAAGAAGACATCTGTATAAATAGCTGCAGGGACCTACTGTAGCTCACTGGATGGGCAAGAATTAACACATGTTGAGATTGGAATGATTTGACGCTTACTTGGAGCTTACTCTGACGCTTACTTTGCTTCCACTTTCTCTCAACTAAGGCTAGGACTGTTCATAATTTGGTAAGTGCTGATTATAACCCCAACCAATGTGCTTCCTTTGGATTTTTTCATTTCTTTGCTAATGATCATAGGAATGGAGGCTTTTTAGAATCTATGGGTTTATGGGATGGCATGGGGCTACATTTGGAAAAGTCCTCTAATTTCTGTCTGCCTCTCTTTTTGGCAAGAAAGAGTTGCTCTTCCTTTCTCCAAATGGCTAGAAACTTTACTATTGTATTGAAAGTAGAGGGACCAAGCCTTGAGAAAAAATGGGAAGTGATGAGATGCTGTCTTTCTCAGGGTAATTGTATAAGGAAGAAAGGGGACTTTGCTAGGACCTTTGTTAGTGGTGTGTAACCAGCCAATGTATTGGCATTTATCTTTTCTTGCTTGTATATATTAAGCCTTCCCTCTTTGTCACTAAGGTCATGGATTGTAATGCAATGTATACATATTTTTTTTCTCAGATGAACAATAAAGAGGATTTGTTTATAAAATCCATGTTGACTCACATTTCAGTACAATTAATAATGTGAAATTTTGATTAAGGATTAAGATCTTGAATATGATTTGGCAATATAAATGCAAGTGAGTCTCTTTGGACTACTAGACAACCATTAGAGACTCTAAATTTCAGTTATCTGATGACCAGATATTTTTCTCTGTCTACTAAATATGAGAAACAAATGTATATATATAGATTTTGCTTGATAGTATTTATACTTCTCTGCCAGAATAGCTTTATAAAATTGGGAAATACTATAAGATCAGGAATATACTATAAGATCAGGAATATAGTAATCTTTGTTGTCAGAATTAGCAGATAATTTATCTTGCAGAAGAAAAATACACTGCATGGAAACTTGATCACTTTGTCTTTGCAGCAAAAGCTTTATACAGAAATTGTACATAAGAAAATATATAATTTGCTTTCTGCATAGGAGTAAGAGGATAAAAATCCCCTTAAGTGTCATTTACATTCAGTAATGAATAAATATATATTTTTATGAAACTTTAGGATTACAAATGCAATTAAACTGAAATGGTAGTATTGTAAAACGCTTGATGATAAATCACAGTCATCTTGCCAACTATAACAATATTTCTGAGATAAACAAAGTGAAGTTATCATTTTTTGGCATGTCTCTGTTCTCTTCCATCCCATTTTTCAAATTTCCTACTTTAAAGGAAAAGTCTTCTCTGCATCAGCCTGTTAAAATACCCTTTATAAATGGGCTGAAAACCCTATGTGGGTGCAGAAAGGGTGCTGGCTAATATATCAGATTTTACATTGGCCCTTCTAAATCTATAGCTAACTAAATAATACAGGAAGAGTGAACGAAGGTCAAGTTTCTTGAGAGACAGCCTGTTATATTGTTTTTAAATTAAAGAGACCTTATTCACAGGTGTTTTTTTTTTAATTTGGGAGGGGGAATACATCCTTGTGCAGTCAGTTTTCTCTGTATACTGGAATTAAATTGAAATTAAATCACATTTCACTAAATAGGCCTTTCTCATCATAAGTACCAGTAGCATTACAATCTAATTCCATTTTTAGGTTTTTGATTTCATAAGATATCCTGATTCTCTTTTATTCAGTTTGATTCTTCTATTGTAAATCACCAACTTCCTCTTTTTTATGAACAGATCATACATCTTTTCTCTTTAAAAAATACAGGGCCATCATTTAACTTTCTCAAGTGGAGAAATACTCTGTTCAATGAGCTGAACCTTAAGAATAATACAGCATATGTTACTTAAGTTTATCAGGTCAAAAACTTGTCATATATCTATTTTTAGTTCTTATAACATAGAGGATGGATTTGAAATACAAATCTAATTTTGTTAGCCAATCTGTAACGTATAACTATTTTGCTACATACACCGCCAATCAAAACATGTAAGGCACTACCTAGCACTATTAATTAAAATTCATTTATTCTTATTTTTTCTACCAGTTTTTTTTAATAATTTGAAGAATTAAATAATTATTCCTGTTATCCTAGAACTGTTCTCTTAATTTGCTTCCAGACAAATAGCTCCTAGTAGAAAGGCATTGCTGCTCCTTATATTTCTTCGTTTAAAGGTTTAGGTTGCAAAAATATAGAAGACATAATGAGAAAACACAGAAGGGTTACAAATGGAAGACAACAAAAAATAAGGATATCATCTCTTAATTAACTAAGAATTAGATAAATAATTCATTCGGTATCCAAATACCCTAGAAATGAAACGAGCTGTGAAATTGTTGAAGACAAGATCACTGCAAAGACCAGAGCCACTATGCAGGTCCTCATGGTTTCAGGCAAATTCTGTTTAAAATTGATCTGTGGGAAGGAAAAAAGCTATGCTTTTTAAGCCTGTGTTTTAGCTTCTATAATTTGGTAAGCAAATTGAGAATTCCCTAGTGTTCTTCTTTTCTCACCCTTTCACCCTCAAAATACAATTTCTAGGCTTTCCTGAGCTCAGAGATCTAACTTTTGAATGATATATTCTACATAAGATGCTTCTGTAAATAACTTATACACCATTTATCTAATCTAGCACACTCTCATCGCTTTATCCATGTTGACAATCTCTATGAATAAAGTAAAATAAACTAATGCAATTCTTTCAGTTAGAATACTAACATGTTCTAACATGCAGGGAACCTTTTTATGCTTTCTGTTCATTTCTTGATTGTTGGAAGGCAAATCCTGGAGATCAAATGGCTGGCTGAATGACAGCAAGAAAGATGACAGTATTATACAGGCAAGATCTCATTTGATTTGTTGTAGCTTTGTCATCATAGGTTTATGTTTCTAAAAGTATCATTTAAAATAATATTTATAATATGGGGGGGGGGGGAAACTGTATGGTAGACTCCATCTGAAATCTGCCTGTAGCAGGATATAGATATGTTTCAGATTTGTTGTTTCTGATAGAAAGGAGTTGTTTAGGATGAAAGACTTGGAAGGCATCAGTACTTTTCTGGTTGGTTGGTTGAAGTGAAGAGTTACCTGGACTTACTTTTCTGGATCCTGTTCATGGGAAAAAGAGATCTTCTAAGCAAGAGAAACAACAACGAAAATAGTTTAGTGCCTTCAGTGGTTCAAAGGAGTTCACATTCTTTATATAATCTTTAACCTTTCTAAATAATCCAGAGAAATAATTCATTAATACTGTAGATGAAGAAAAATTGAGGCCGAAGAAAGTTCCTTGCTTCATGATAGGAGCAAGTTTTGCCTTCAGTCTTTCACTGATTATGGTATTCTATGCTCACAACTCCTAAGATATCAAGAATTGTGGTAAGCTAATTTTCATACCATACAATAAAGTATTGGGGTTTACTCAGAAGTATTCAGAAAGAATTCCTCTGTTTTTCAACTGTTGCTTTGTTTTGGAGACAAATCAGGTCAATTCACACTAACTTAAGAATTACATTGGCGTTCTAAACGGGGTGAGTTATTGTAATGATCTGTGAGAATGTTTTTGAGTGATAGGAGAAAAAGAAAGAGGAGGAGATTAGGTAACGGTCAGATAAAAGGCAGCTTAGCTCACAGAAGAAATGGGGCACAGTATATGTCTCAGTAGGGACCCTCCCTAGTTTCATGGACTTGTAAAGATGAGGGGGGAGAAATGTACCTTCAGACTTGCAAAATTTGTAAGATCTTATTGTAATCTTACAATAAGATAGTGTTAGTCATGGTTGGCACTTCTTGTCTAGACCACCTCTAAGGGTTGACAGGTATTTAACTGAAAATTCTGGAAAAAAACCTGAATTGCCTGCTTAATGGCGATTTCCTTTTTTGGATCTCTTAGAGGGAAGTTTGCAGCTACGGAGCGCAGAAGTGTCTCGAATCTGCTGTCCTCGAGTCTGAGGAGGTGATGCACAGACTGCATCTGGGCGAGTACGGGTAGATCCCAGCCACCTAAAGAAAAAAAAAAATCCTCAGAATCACCCAGGAGAACATGGTTAAACAGATTTTCAGTGTGGCCTTTCATGTCCTTTATTAATTCATTAACTACTATCATTCCTTTCTCCCCTCCCCAAAATACTTTTGAGGAATTAGCAAGTTGGGTGAGATCAGTACTCTTACCTGCGCAAAGGTGCTAACTGACAAGAACAGTGCCAAGGGTTATTGGACAGGGAGAGTGTCTCAAGACGAGTGAATGGAAAACTCCTAGGTAGACTGGAAATTTTGTTGTGCTCTATATGAACATTCTTCAGTGCGGTTGTTCCAACAAATGCTTTATCTGAAAACTGAGGCAGAGGAGCAGGTAGTAATAACAGTAAATAAGTTAAAATCATGCTTATTCTCTAACAGTCAATTTTGGGTAGTGATCCAAAATTTTAAAAATTAAAGGGAGGGAAGGCAAAACCAAAGCCCAAAGTCCAGTTGTTTAGGGGATGGGAGTCAGGAGACATTTTAAGAGATGGGAGTCAGGAGACGAGACCAAATGGAACACTCTTTCCACTTTCTGCTACTTCACACAACACGTTCCTTGATGCAAATCTACCTCATGGGATATACTATAAATATATGGAAAAAAAATCATATATGCCAAGGAACAATGACAGGTCCTGATAGTCACCTGCCTAACATATGAAATGGTCCACATTTCCATTTGTTTGAAGATACAGTAATCACTCTTAGGAAATAAACACCATAATATTGAGTTGTATGAGATGTTCTCCACTGTGGTAAAAAAGAAACAACATGGGTGGGAATGTGTTGAAAGGCTAAAACTTGTCGGTTTGCTAAATACTTTTCTTTGGTTGTGTGCCCTTTACTGTTTTAAAGGAAAGGTGTTCTTCAACTTCTCCCATTTCTTTTTAGACATTGCTTCATCCTAAACCAGCAAAAAGGTTTTTTGGCTTCTAGAACTGAAATCCTTTCTGGCATCCAGTTGCCCTATATAGAGAGAAGAATATTTGTGGAGACTCAAAAGGATTGCAGACTTGGTCAGAATCCAGTGAACTCCCAATGGAAAGTTACACTTGGCATTCATGTAGAAGCAGCAAGGCGAATTTCCAGATGCTCAGATTCCTCTCCCCTGTCTCTTGGTCCTCACTGGTTATTCATTAATGCTGAAGAATCAAAATGTTTACATCCTAAAGTCTTGGCTTCAAAAATTTAGTTCTCCTGTGGAATTAGGATGGCAAAAATAAGGGACTTAAGACAGCTATTCCTACTCTTTTTCTGCTAAGCCTATCTCTCAGTATTTATTTAGTTTGCAATAATTGTTATAAACATAGCACACACTCTCTTGGAAGTCATTTATATAGATATGAACTTATTGATTATGACTTCCATAATACTTTTATTCTGCCCACTTGATGTTTTTTCAGGCAAATAAAATATACACAAAGGTTCTACTAGAATGTTGGTTTTTTTGTCTTATAAGCTTCTTACTTCATATATGGAAATTTATCAAGGATTAGCAGACTATAAACCTCATAATCTTCCATGGATGTCCCTTGTGTTTTCCCACTGCTGCTTCAGTCCTTTTTTATCTTTTCACAAAAAGTCTGATTAAGGAGGAAAGAGAGAATAGTTGCACTTTTGATCAAAAAGCAGCTAAATATTCCAGAAAATCCTCTAAGTTCCCATCCCATTTTTCAGATCACACATCTTTTTAACATCTGAATATCAGAGAGCTCTTCTCCCATTCCAGCACTTTAACAATAAAATATACATCTCTTCTAATCTGATACCATTATCAAAATCAAATTATTCAAAATACTGGTTTGCTGTAACAGCTGAATAATTAACATTAAGGAATTTCCAATTGTACCTACCTGAATTTTTTCTGTGAACCATCACTGAATGAATCCCAGCAGATTCTATGTTAATTGTTGGTAGCATCTTTTTTCATGACGGATGTGAGAGCAGATATCTAAACCTTTTAGCCAATTGAAGATCGTTTGATCCTTTAAACAGTTATATTTTAACCTATAAATCTTCATTTTGCATTTCAGAGGCAAAAATGCTGTAATTCTGACTCCTTTGTGTAAGTAGAAAATGACTGGGTTCATAGGAGATTTCAAACCTTTGCTTCCTATTCTTACAGCCAGGGCTTTTTTTCTCATAGAACGCCCAGAAAGGAGTTCCGGCACCTTTTTTGGATGGAACCTTCTAGGGTAGGCAAGGCGGGTTGTATGACGTGTGTGAGTTTTGGCACCTTTTTTTTTTTTTTTTTTTAGAAAAAAAGCACTGCTTACAGCCATCATTTGTCTTTCATGCGGTTGCCTTACTGGGCATCCATCCTTAACTTCAAGCTGTGGAAGAGACAGGGAGCAGGCAACCTATGTTACCTTTCTGGCAGTTAAGAAGCTCAATATACAAAATTTGAAAATATTTGTATAAAGCTGCTTCCTGGTGTTATAGAGGTATATCTATTCAGAGTATTCACTCTTTTCTTGGGCGATAATCCAATCACACAATAAAATCAAGATCTATTTTTTAAAAGACAAGATAAAATTAACTCGTTTTAATTTTTTTAAGATTAAATTAGCATAAACTCAATATTGTAGAAGATGAATTACAGAACTGCCCAAATTATGAAATAGCAGTTTGGTTAAAATAAACAAAAACATTAAAATATATAGAAAAAATGTAAGATGGAATTAGCTTGTCACAGATCTCTCAGAAATTCCAGAAATATGTTGAGAAAAAAATTCCAAAGGGTTATTCCAAATTAAAAGATATAATATTATAGTACAGCTAAAAGATAAGAGATAAATCCAATTTTCTAATTTTTGCAGACAAGAACTTGGGAGGATGAGACCTGATTCAGTTGGCTCTACACACAAAGCAAATTAAACCTAGTGCAGATTCTTGGTAAATCATTTTCACTCTTCGCTACAGAAATAGAAACTCAGAACTAGTTTTATGTAGTAGTTAAGACATCAGGCTGGAAACCAGGAGACTGAGTTCTAGCCCCACCTTGGACACAAAGCCAGATGGATCTTGAGCTAGTCATTCTCTCAGCTCTAGGAAGGAGGCAATGGCAAACCACTTCTGAAAAACCTTGCCAAGAAAACTGCAGGGGCTTGTATGTGTATTTATAAATACCACTGTGTATTTATGTTGTGTATTCACTCTCCTGGAACTGAATTCCTTGTGTTATGTATCATAAATGTGGCCAAGAGACGGTTTTGATTCTACTTTTCCATAGTCACAATTAGTCATTTTCACCCAATTGTTAAAATTATGATGACCATAATCTATGATTTGTTTGGGAAAAAAGCCCACTTGAAACTATGATTTAAAGTGAGAACAACCAATGTTTTTTACTTGGAATATTACTGTGTGTATTGGATAGCTTCACAAATCTCTTTTGACAATATTCTACTTCATTAGAACAAAATATACCAAAGATGTGGAATATGATAGTAAATCCCTGCTAAGGAACTTCTTGGTAGAATGGATTAATCATTTTAGATAAGAGATAAGATAACCTTTATTGTCATTTTTTACTGTGGGCACACTGGCACACATTAAAAATGAAATTCTGTTGCCTGCTCTCAAAAGTGTACACATACATAACACACATATAAACCTGCTATATACAGCCTATGTATATACCTACACCCTTACATATAAATACATATAAATATTAACAAATACATATAAATAATTTACATTATTTTGCACAAGATCCTAACCATACTTGCTAAAATCTGTCAACGGTAATGTATTGGCAATAGAATTAATAATTAAAGAAAACTTTCTAGCTTGACTATTGCCTTGGGGCTGATTCAGGCTAATTCACTGTGCTGCAGAATTATTTCCATGTTATGCATAAAACATATCACTTAAAGCCTTTAATAATTGTTTTAAGTGATTAAAACAATTCTTTTTCATTAGGTCTGTCATCCACTTGTAAAATGATGTCATGTTAAAAGAAAATTCAGCTAGCTACTGACTATATGCATTGAGAAGAGATACTTAGTGATCAAAAATTTGCTGTGAGAAATAGGTACTTGTGAAGTTTAGTGCTACCAGTTTGTCCTGGAAAAGTATATATACTTTCTAAGCCAAAGCAGAATAAGCATGTAAGTTTGAAGATTAATCCTGCAGGAAAATCTAAGAGGAAGGAGTTGTTTTTTACGTTACCACAAGAGCATGGATATCTTGCCTCTGACTTGCTTTATTTGTTTATATCCCACTTTTATTATATTTACAAATAACTTAAGACCACGAACATACTTAAGATACCTTCCTCCTATTTTCCTGACAACAAGAACCATGTGAGGTGACTTGGGCTTAGAAAGAGTGATTGGCCCAAAATCATGCAACTGGTTTTCATAGCCAAGGCAGGATTTGAACTCATGGTCTCTTACTTTCTTAGCCACTAGACCAGGGGTGTCAAACTCACAACATCACATGACATGTCACGACATATCGTGATTTTTTCTCCATTGCTGGCAATGGGGTGGGCATGGTTTCGGCATGACGCATCCGGTCCGCGGACTGGCAGTTTGACACCCTTGCACTAGACCAAACAGGCTTTTCATCCTACTGTAGTAGCATGGAAGATACCATATCTTAGAAACTTCCAACATACTTAGTGGTTTCTAGGATAATGTGATCATATGTGGCTGGTACTAAAAAAATCCAGAAATTTTGGGTGCTTCATCACTGGAGGTTTTTTTTTCCTTAAATGGGATAACCATTTGTCCATAATGATATAGTGTCTCCTGCTTGAGCAGAGGGTTGGAGTAGGACCTCCAAGATCCCTTCCAATTCTGTTATTCTGTAACTACTGTAGAATAAGATCAGGTGGAGGAAACAATAATAAAATGCCTTTACAGGTAGAAGAATAGGATATAGCTGTCAAACTTCAAAAATTCTCATTTTGTTTCAGCCATTGTTATCTTGTATCTTGCCAATAGTCACAGGTGGGAGAGGGGAATCATTGGAATGTATGTGGAGTAGCTTAGTCTGGGAAGAAAGGCTATTTAAGATTGTTGCTAGGAAACAAAGGATTATTCTCATAACAATTATTTTGTGCTTAATTGGAGAATATGACTTGCACTGTCAGAGGGAAGGGGAGTTTTTATACTTTTAATTTATTGTTCTGGTGCCAAAATGCCAAAGTTGTTTTTCAACTCGTTAGTGCCGGTATGATGTGCCCAATAAAGTTTTGCATTAGAGCTTGGAATGTCTCCAGTGTACTTACTTTGTTGGGATCTTGTTGAAATCACCATATTGGGAAATGAAACAATAAAATACCTGTGAATTGCAACTTCATATTGCAACTCAGTGGTCATAATGTCACTAAGATAACTTTTGCTTTCCCTTGGGCTGCTTTTGTGTCTCATTCATTTAAGACAAAAAGGGAAATCATAATGATTGATACTGAAAAAGGCAAAGTGCTGGTATACAGTGAAGATCAAAATGTGATCAATGATTCTGCATTGCAAGAAGTCATTCATGCAATGCACATTTCTTCATTCTTGAATATCTTTTTGTTTAGAATAATACTTTTGCTTCATTTTCTTTATTTTATTGTGCACAATGCCTTTTTCCACAGAAGTCTTTTGGAAACGCTTTATTGTTTCATATATATCTGTTATGTGAGACCTTTTTTATGATTATATTCAGATTCTCATTAATTCTATTCCAAAATTCCCACACACTCTTCCAAAATGCACAGAATTGTGAGCAAGTTTTTAAGATTTTGTAAATGAAGAAAGATCTATGCTATCATCAAAAAATCTCTTATTTTGGCCATGAATGAATTCTTCCCATTCAAGTTCCCTCCACTTTCTAGCTACCAGCTTTAAAATCTATCATCCTACTGTATGTCTGGACTTTATTTTGCTTCTTAGCATTCTAATTTACTAAGCTTTTCATTCTGCCTTCACTTTGTGTTATCCATTCATTGAGCTTCTGGGGGATGATTGTTTTGCTGGTTTAATGCACTTGGACAACTTCAGCATGGCACTAAAGCTGCTGGAAATAGTACTTCTTGTTCACCTGGAAGGCTTCCACCCTGCTGCTTCTCTTTAATGTGGTTTCTTGTTCCATCAGGGACATAGTATAGCCAACATGAGGTCATTCCATTTCCTATTTACAACCAGATTCTCATATATCATGGTTTTGCACGAGGGACATGATTCATTCATTAAGAAGACGGGGAATATTTTGTTGCTTACTTGAACATCCCTCTAACTTTCCAGAGAGAAAGGACTTCTTTGTGACGTGCTGTGAGGTTTTCTTTGAGGGATGATCAATAAACAAATCCTCCTTAATAAAGTATAAGATTGGGGAGGAAAAAAAAGAGGTAGATCCTTGCATGTGCTCAGTTTACCTGTCTCCAGTGTTCTCCAGGCTGTACTATCACCCACCTCTTTTTGAAAGTCACTACATTTTACCAGCAAGTGGTCAACCCAGTATTTTAAGAACAGAGCTTAACTCTCTGCACAGCAGTGTGCAGCAGGAGCCAAAAAAGCTAATACAATCCTGGGTTGTATAAACAGAGGCATAGAATCAAGATCATGCGAAGTATTAGTACCGCTTTATAAAACCCTAGTAAGACCACACCTGGAATACTGTAGCCAATTTTGGTCACCATATCACAAAAAAAGATGTTGAGAGTTTGGAAAAAATTCAGAGAAGAGCAACTAAGATGATCAAAGTCCTGGAGACTAAAACATACAAAGAACGGCTGCAAGATTTGGGTTTGGCTAGTCTAAAGAAAAGAGGGAAAAGGGGAGACATGATAGCAGTATTCCACTATTTGAGGGGCTGCCACAAAGACGACAGGGTCACGTTATTCACTAAAGCACCAGAGGAAAAGATGAGAAACAATGGTTGGAAACTGATCAAAGAGAGAAGCAACCTGGAATTAAGGAGAAACTTCCTGACAGTGAGGACAATTAGCCAGTGGAACAGCTTGCCTCTAGAAATAGTGGGCGCTCCATCACTGGAAATTTTTAAAAAGAGGCTAGACAGTCATTTGTCTGAGACGGTATAGGTTCTCCTGCTTGAGCAGGGGGCTGGACTAGAAGGTCTCCAAGGTCCTATTCCTATTCTATTCTATTCTATTCTATTCTATTCTCCTCACAAATTTTCTTTCTTTCCTTCCTTCCTTCCTTCCTTCCTTCCTTCCTTCCTTCCTTCCTTCCTTCCTTCCTTCCTTCCTTCCTTCCTTCCCTCCCTCCCTCCCTCCCTCCCTCTTTTCTCTCTCAATACAAGTATGTGTATGTATTGTAATGTAATGTAATCTCACCCTAACTGCAGCATGAGCCTAATTCTGGTGGTGTTGCCTTCATCTTTTGAAGGCAAGAACACTAGGCTTATGGCCAATTTAAACTGGGAAAGACAGCTGGGCTTTGTCAGCTGGGCAATGCTAGTTTTATATACATACATACATACATACATACACACACACACATTCTCTACATCTATTTTTATGTATACACATGTACATGCATGTATACACATATGCACATGTTCTTATATGAAATATAAGAGAGAAAGCAAGGAATAAATGGAACAGCATTAAGGAGAAAAAGATAAAAAATATCAGATTCTGTTTCTAGATACAGTACTAGATTTATCACTTGCTAGTAAGATTTAAGCTCATGAGGACATTGCAGGAAAGTTATTAGGTATATTCATACACCAGTTTTAGGGATGTGAGGAAGAGCCCTTAACTAATAAATCATGATTAAATCTCATCTAAGACTGTAATAAAATATTTGCTTATTACAGTTAGGCAAATCATATGTAGCATGAAATGTAAACTCGGTCCATTTGTGTGTGTGTTTGTGTGTGTGTAATTTGTTTCAAGAAAAGAAAACTAGGTTATAATTATTTCCTTTATTTAGGTCAGCAGTATGCCAGCTACTATATAAAACAAAGACTGATGGATGAATGCTCACAAACAATATTTCATAGATGAGATAAAGGCAGCAAGGAAAAGAGGAGATGAAATGAGTAGCAGGTATGGAGGAAAGAACAAAATTGTGAAAGTGAAGGACAGCAAAACAATTTGTTTAGCTTCTCTTGCAGTGAAAGAAAAAACGTGTAAGTTGAGGACCGAGATAGGTGATAATATAAATTTGATAAGTAAAATAAATACAGTAAACAAGCGAACAAGCACAATGCAAGACAGAGAATGTGTGTTTGCTGGTTTTTTCCTGCCCAGATTAGTTTAATTCCTCAGAATCTAAATATGGAGAACTACTTTTATTGAATAAAAAGCTATGTACTTGACTCCCAGTTTGCTAATTATAAGCACTTTTCTCTGACAGAGACTAATGGTTTTGTGTACAGCTTATTAAATGGACAAGTAATACCTGTGTAACTGTAGCCTTTTGCTCCAGAAAAACATTTCTTTTAGTTTTGCCTTCATACTGTTATCTGATTACTGTTTGCAGACATGCTGGCTGGGGAATTTTGGGAGTTAAAAGTACACAACATCTTAAAGTGGCCAAGGCTGGGAAACACGATTTAAGGTCTTCTATCCTTTTGCTTTCATCTTTCCTCTTTAAAACCAGCAGAGACTGTGTTATTGAAAAGTGATGGTCCCTTAGTCTTTCAGCTCTGATACTACAGTACCAAGGGTGAACAGAAAGGAAAGAAGCAGGGGTTTTCTCCTTTTCCTCAGTTCCATTCTTCTGGGTCTCCTCACCATAATTGTGACCAGGCATAATAGTCCAATTTGGTCCCATTCTCTTTGCCCGTCAGAAGATGTCTCCAGTTTCTGAGGACATGTAAAGAACTATTTCAAGGCAGACACAGACTGTCTATGGGGGGAGGAAATGGGCCATTCCTTTCTTTGTAACTTAACTTCTGTTTTGAAAGACTTCCCCCCCCCCCTTTGATTGAGAGTTATATATTTTCCACCACTGATAGATCCATTTTTAGAACCCCATATAACTTAAAGGTAAAGTTTTAATTCTCCTGCAATGTTTTCTCTAATTGTAGTATTCTATTTCCTCCCCCCAGCCCAATTCCCAAATTGGATTATAAGGAAAAACTCAGAATAATGATAGTAGCATTCATTCCTGTTAGAGAAAACAAAAGGTTGTGCTTGAGAGTTTCCCTTTGAGGTATGGACTGAATCTGTCCCTGCCTGTATAGAATTCATCCCCTATTTCTTGGTTATGCTGACAAATGACAGGATTTGACAAATAGACAAATGTATACATTTATACAAAAGAAGACAGAAAGCTCTGAGAAATTCTTACCTTTTCTAATCCCATGTTGTCCAAGCGGAGAGTCTCCATGTACCTTCCAAAAGATTGGAAGGCTAAATCTGGAATGAACTTTATTGGGTTGTTTGAGAGCTTGAGGTCTTCCACCACCCTTAATTTGCTCATCGCAGCCACTGGGTAGGTGCTCAGCTGGTTCTTATCCAAGTGGAATATGGCTAGGTTTTCCACATCCTCCAAGGCCCCAGGTTGGATGGAGGAGATGGAGTTATTAGAGAGATAGAGCCAGCGAAGGTTCTTAGTACCATGGAAGGCTCCTGATCTCAGCTCTCTGAGCCTGTTGTTACCTAGCTGCAGGATGAAAAGATTAATCAGTGGAGAGAGGAGCCCCTTGGGCAGGTCAGATATCTTGTTATGATCTAGGTAGAGGTAAGTAAGTTCTATCAGGTCATCAAAGGCTCCCATCTTTATGGTACTGATGTCATTATTTGACAAGTAAAGGTAGACCAGCTGCTTCAGACCCCGGAAAGCTCCACTGGAAATTTCTTTGATGTGGGAATGTTGGAGGTGAAGAGATACAAGATTTTTCATCTCTCTGAAACCATTGGTTGGCAGCACAGGGAAATTGTTCCTCTGTAGATTGAGAAGCCGGGTCTGCTCGGCCACTTTGGGAATCCTTCTCAATCCAACATTGTCACAAATGACATGGTGGAGGTCTCCTCCATGACAGTGACAATTCTGAGGACAGGCCTGAAGAACAGGAAGAAGACATATAAGCAAGGCGGTGAATTTGAGCAAGAGATTTGATGGGTCCATGTCTACAGAGCTGTGGTAGATGTGCAGGAGGAGGGAGAAGCTTGAATGAAAGAGAAAGTAAGTCTGCAGCATGTTGAACACAGCCCTATTTATAATGCTATCAAAAAGAAAATCCTTCCCACTAACCGCAGCAGTAGCCAGATGCTGGCTTGGAAGTAACTGTTTTCAGGAACCTGGTGTGACTTTAACCCTTTGAATCAAGCAGACAGAGAGGATGCCTGATTTTCTCTTTTCATGGCTTTAGTGCTGGTGATGTTTTCTTTTCAAGCAAATTATCTGAAAAAATAATGTACTGTATATCACTTGCAGGAATTTCAATTTTCCTTAGCTATGTGCACAGAAATTAAGGCTGTCCCCAGGTCCTTGATTCTTTAGGTATTGTGAGATTTCTTGTTCGGTTTAAAGTGACGGGTATAAGAACCATGCCTTCTAGAAAGAAGCAATTTGAATTCCCTCACCATGAAAAGCACATTGAGGGGAAAATCTCATAATATATTTCATCATACACATTTATTGGTTTCTGTGAGTGCAATTCCCCATGGCTTACATAAAGATTAATGTTCTTTATTCTTTGTGCACTATATGCCCCCCTTTGGGGTTTTTTCTGATTAGAGCAACTTTGTTAATATTTATTTCTATCCTGCCTTTATTATTTTTACAAATAACTCAAGGCAGCGAACTCAAGGCAGCGGACTAACCAAAGAGAGAAGCAACCTAGAACTAAGGAGAAATTTTCTGACAGTTAGAACAATTAACCAGTGGAACAACCTGCCTCCAGAAGCTGTGAATGCTCCAACACTGGAGGTTTTTAAGAAGAGACTGGACAGCCATTTGTCTGAAATGGTATAGGGTTTCCTGCCTGAGCAGGGGATTGGACTAGATGGCCTCCAAGGTCCCTTCCTCCTCCTCCTCCTCCTCCTCCTCCTCCTCCTCCTCATTATTATTATTATTACTATTATTACTACTACTACTACTACTATTATTATTATCATCATCATCATCATCATCATCATCATCATCATCATCATCATCATTATTATTATTATTATTATTATATCCAACAAACCTTCCTTCTCCTATTTTCCCCAGAACAACAATCCTGTAAGGTGAGTTGGGTTGAGAGAAAGTGGCTGGCTCAAGGTCATTCAGCTGCCTTTCATGGCTAAGGCCAGACTGGAACTCACAGTCTCCCACTTTCTGGCCTATAGCCTTAGAGCCATTAGTCCAATTTGGGTCTCTATTGATCACTTAATATTGTCTACTAAAATGTATATTTTCAGTAGAATAGGTTCAACCTGAAGAATGGGAGCGATTTCCCTTTCTATTGCCCCTGTATACTTTAGCCTTTGGTCTGCAGAGTTGGAAGATTCTCCTGAACAAGTTGTAGGGAAGAGGGAAGATCACAAAGCTTGTAGGAAAGAATAAGGGAAAGAAAAACCCCTGTTTCCTAAACACTAGTTCATTTTCTTCACATCGTATGCAGGCCCTCCAATGCAAGCCATTCCAATGCAATTGCTTCATCAAATTTCCAGATGAACTTAGAATTTTCTTTTCTTACATCGTAGTTTTATTAAGAATTTTCACAAGAATAAGAGATATTATAAAGTGAAATTTAAAAAAAAAATTAAAGAAAAGAAAATGGAATTAAGTGAGAAGCTAAGAAAGATATATAGGTAGAAACAAGAAAAGAAAAATGACTTGCAGTCTTTCTTATAGCAGATACATACAAACAAATAATCTCACCTCTCTCTTTAAGATTAAATCATAATATCTTTTTTCCTATATTCATTTTTCTTAGTTTTTCATATATTTCCTTTTCCCTTATTCTGTTTTTTAACTTTTCTTTAAAAGAAAAGATTTTTTTTTTAAAGGTTAAAACAGTTCATCATCACAATGTTTATAATACGAAGCTGGGAGTCCATGTGATCCAGACACTTTCCCTATTTTAATCTTTTTTTATATATTGACAGCTTCCCTTATTGTTATGGGTCCATTCACCATCTCTTTTTGTTTATCCATTTCCTTTGGTTAATTTTGTTTCTTTAAATATCCCTCCCACTTCTGCTGGGGAAATTTCTTCTCCTTTGTACCATTTTGTGTAATATTGATGAAATATTCTTTGAATACTTATCTGATACCATGGTTTTCCCAATTTGTAATTTTAATATCATATTTTTCTTCACTTTCTTTTTTTAATTTATAAACTAGCCATTTTCTCAGCTTATTTGCTAACTCAAAATTCTTCTGTTTGCCATTTTCATTTCCATTTCTTTTATTATTAATATACACAGTTGTTGCAATAATTTTATTTGCTGCAAAATATTTTTCTCTTCCAGAGACCTGTACTTAGAACGTTCTAATGTCTTTCAAAGTGAATAGAATCTTGAAATATCTTTAAATGATCTATTTGGCAATGATAGCAATCTTATGACAATATCCTTGAGCCTATGGCCACTTGATAGACAGATGGCATGAAAACAAATTAATAATACTATAAAATATATATTGAGGATCACAGATTGCAAAGATAGAAATGTCCAGTTATATTACTAGATGACTACAATACTTAACCTCTTTAGAAGTTAATCCATACTGTTGCCCTAATTTTGAAAGAGAAAGGTAAAATGCAGATAACATGATCTACTGCTTCACTCCAAACAAATTACACTTTAAAAAGTTAGTTATTTTGATTTAAAATTTATAGAAATAAAAAGGATACTTCAGAAAATAATTGTTAAATAAGCAAGAATTATATTTAACTGTGAGAAAGCAGTTGATGAAAACTTAAGCATCAGAGACAGGGTAATACAGGAATAGGCAATTATCTGATTTTCTGAAGATATTAAATATTGTCTTTAATAAACTTTCAGAAAGCATGACCATAGAGAGATGGCTCAGAACATCTAGAAATATAGTTTGTCTATCCTGCCATCATGTAATATTTAAAAGTCTGTTCTACTTGCAAAGTCAGTAATTCATATAATCTCTTAGCAGTTGACTTCGCAGAGCATTTTCAACAAGCTAAGCTCCCAACTTGAATTCTCTGTCCCTCATTGTGTAATAAAACTACTCTACTCTTTATAGTGGGAATACAAGAATTAGTATAACTATGTTTTTGTAAAGTGCTGTGAAATATACGCATTGTGCTTAGTGTTCCTGGGTAACAGGGTTTTGGAAATCAGCAGATGGAAATGTAACTTCATTCTAATTTGTAAAAGAACATAGGTTGATGTTGAGACTCTTTAGAAAGAGTACAGAGAAGAGCAACAAAGATGATTAGGGGACTGGAGGCTAAAGCATATAAGGAACGGCTGCTGGAATTGGGTATGTCTAGTTTAATGAAGAGAAGGACGAGGGGGGACATGATAGCAGTGTTCCAATATCTCAGGGGCTGCCACAAAGAAGAGGGGGTCAAGCTATTTTCCAAGGCGCCTGAAGGCAGGACAAGAAGCAACTGGGTGGAAACTAAGCAAGGAGAGAAGCAACCTAGAACTAAGGAGAAACTTCCTGACAGTTAGAACAATTAACCAGTGGAACAACCTGCCTCCAGAAGTGGTGAATACTCCAACACTGGAAGTTTTTAAGAAGAGACTGTACAGCCACTTGTCTGAAATGATATAGGGTTTCCTGCCCGAGCAGGAGGTTGGACTAGATGACCTCCAAGGTCCCTTCCAACTTCATTATTATTATTATTATTATTATTATTATTATTATTATTATTATTATTATTATTATTATTATTATTATTATTATTATTATTATTATTATAATAAAACACTACAGTTGTCCCTCAGTAGAACTCCTGAGCTTTGGGGGTAATTTGTAAGGATGCTTAATTCCCTTCATTATTTTCCCTTATTTTCATTAGTCTTCCTTTCCCTTTTAATCTATTTTACTTCTCCTTTTGCTTTATGATTTTAGAGTTTTTTGTCGTTTCTTTCATATGAGTCCAGAATGGTGTAGGCTCTCCTGTTGGGAAGTAGGAGTAGTTCGGGAGAAAGACCCCCAAGGTTCCTTCCAACTCTGCTATTCTGTATTCTGCCTACTGATTAGTATTAGTAATTCTCTCCTATTGATTGACCTTAGCTTGCTCTCTGAACCAAGAGGAGAAGTATGAGTTCCTTATTTACTTATCAAACTTGTATGCTGCCCATCTTGCCCAAGGTGACTTATATTTTCTTATTCCCATAGAAGTATGATTTTCTTATTTCCCTGTATTTGATATACAGTTTCTCTAAAAGCAAAGAATGGGGCATAGTATGTTTTGGCTAACGTTTTCCCCATATTTTTTTCCATATTTTTCATATTAAAAGGCATAAAGTTACCATATTAGGCTGTTTTCAGTCTAATGAGCAGGCATTAAAAACAGAAATACAGCAGAGAGGAATGGATGCCAGACTCACTAGAGATGAGTAACGATGGCATGGACAAAATGAAGAAATCAAAGTCCTCTGGTTTTTACCTCTTTTGGGCTTTGTAGGTGTTGGCAGGGAAAGAAAAAGAGAGACTAAGAAGCAGCAGAGGCTGGAGGCTGTGTAGATGGAACATTTGGGGCGGGTCTCCAGCCAAAGATTGACTGCAGTAAACTNGCAACCTAGAACTAAGGAGAAACTTCCTGACAGTTAGAACAATTAACCAGTGGAACAACCTGCCTCCAGAAGTTGTGAATGCTCCAACACTGGAAGTTTTTAAGAAGAGACTGGACAGCCATTTGTCTGAAATGGTATAGGGTTTCCTGCCTGAGCAGGGGGTTGGACTAGATGACCTCCAAGGTCCCTTCCAACTTTACTACTACTACTACTATTACTACTACTACTACTACTACTACTATTATTATTATTATTATTATTATTATTATTATTATTATTATTATTATTATTATTATTATTATTATTATTATTAAACACTACAGTTGTCCCTCAGTAGAACTCCTGACCTTTGGGGATAATTTGTAAGGATGCTTAATTCCCTTCATTATTTTCCCTTATTTTCATTAGTCT